TGGTGGCAAAGACTAATCTCTTTTAGTTCCAGTAGGTGTAAGGTTAACGTAAAAATAGGTTACAATAGTCTATGTACTTGACATTTAACTATCAGCTTATCTATTTTTCAAATATTCACTGTCAATTTTTATAACATATGTTAATTTATAGTCGTGTTATAAAAGTTGATTTCACATGATTTCGACTTTGAAAAGTGATGTTATTCAACCTAAACTCAGTTAGACACACGTGAATTAATATAAAAGTATCGTAAGATATTGCTGTATAAAGGAGCGTGGTGTTACTTCGTGAAGAAAGACCATCAATCAATACACCCGCTTTCATATTTTTAAGAAGAAAAAACAACGAAAATAAAAACCTGAAGTATATAGTATTTTTTAATCGTAACACGTTTGTTTGAAATATAAAAGTCTGATTTTTGATTACTTGTACTAAAGCGTTTAAACAATATTCTTGTGTATCATATATTTTTATGTGAAACTTGAGACAGACCTTTAGCAAAACTACCTTTAGGTTAACGAAAATATTTGAACTTTGGGTAGGATTATTGTAGGAGTATAGGATAGGTATGAAGGGCGAGGGTTGAAAAAAGAGATAATATGATATTGGTAGTTACCTGGGTGTTTAAAAAAAGAGTCAAAAGTTTTATATTTGTTGTTAAACCTTCTTGTGATCAGTTGACTTTAGATGGATTATTAAAGAATGTGTAATGATTCAGTTGATGATATACGTTGCCAAAATGACAGTCGGTGTTTGTATAGGCTAGACACTTAATTAATACTTCAATTTAACGACCTTGTAATAGACGTGTATAATTTTATTATCATAATTACTAAACTAATAAAGGAAGAAAAAAACAATTGAAATGAGATACTTGTTTTATTGATATTGGTGAAGTTGGATATAAAACAGATAAAATATAGTGATTAGGTTTAGAACAGAGGCTAGGTTATAACCCTCTGATTAGAGGCGAGCTTCCTGTTACTATTATTGGCTCATAATGCTAGCTGCTATATAAAAGGCTATATAAAAGACTCCAGCAGAAAATTATTACCAGTATTGTATGTAACAACATTTCAGCGGATTTAGCGGAATTATCAATAATTATCAGCAAAAGTGTAAATTGTACAAACTGTTTGTATACTTTATATGTCATAAATATCGAATTTATCTTAAGTTTTACTGTAACAATAAAAGATCGGGTAAAACCTGATAAACGTGAGAAAAAAATGCGTTAGTGTTAAAGAACGCGGTTTAAACATACAGAGGTCTAGCATGTATTGATAATGTTATGTACTTCTTTAGTATACAACTTTAAATACCTATATAGAACATAAATAATACACTTAAGCTTATTCGGAAATTATCCTTCAAATAGAGTGAACGAGTGATCTTATTAGCACGAACGTTTTAATATGAATAAGATTTAACTTACTATAATAAAAATAAATATGCCACAGTTAGTGTTGTTTAAACGTAGTTGGAACGTTGGAAGTGATGATTTTGTATTTTCTGGTGTTGTGGACTGTATATTAAGGATAGCTTGGTAAGTATTTGAGCCGCGTCACGACAAAACCAACATAATGCGTTTGCGACCAGCATGGATCCAGACCAGCCTGCGCATCAGGATCCATGCTGTTCGCTTACAAACCCTATAACAAGTAGAGAAACTGACAGCGAACAGCATGGATCCTGATCAGATTGCGCGGATGGACTGGATCCATGCTGGTCGCAAACCCATGATGTTGGTTTTGTTATGGCGCGGCTCATTTCGTTTTTATGTTAGTAGGATATATTTTAAGGATTATTTACGTAACATACGGAAGGAAGTGTAACTGTGTCATATTAAATGTATACACTGATTAAGGTCAAACAGCGTTGAGTGCTTGTTTACTTTAGATTACTGAATGAAATTTGCAAATTGCTTACCGCTAAATAAAAGAGAAATTTAGTCGAACATGTAAAGTAAATGCAATATCGATCTTAGAAGAAGACCTCTGTAAAACGTCATATTTTTTGCTTTTTTACAGATATTAATCATCAGAAAAAAATGTTATCTTTTCATTATACCAGGAAGTGTTATAAAGCACATTTTAAAAAATATATTTAGAATATTTAAATTAATGCAATATTATCTTTTCTTTCGTGGTCCACTTATTCATGTATACGCTGTATTCAATATACAAGAATGGGTTCATTTTCTCGACCTTATTAATTTTACTTTCCTATTAATTCTTCTTGCAAGTTTATTCCTCATTACTGTTGCATATTTTATATTATATAAATTCACATTCATTTAGTTTCCCCAATTAAACCATTTAATGTGATTCAATTAGTGTCGAAATTTACAAGCATAGAGGTAAAACGTTTATGAGCCTTCCCATGGCTAAGGAAAACTTTTATTATAACGTTACAGGTAATTTACTTAAAACTTTAAAGGAATGACGTGTCTGGTCAAATTAATCTTCGCCTTAAGGAAACACATTGATGGGTGTCATTATTTATCAATGCTTGAAAGGAAATACCATCACCTGGGTGTATGGTGAAAATTTATGGTTATCTTGAACCACCAGTCCGTAACTATATATTAGTGTTATCATTTGTGTATTGTTGAGTGGAAAACAAAACCATTTTCTCGAAATATAAGACACTTACAATGAGGAAAAAGTTTGTTTCTCTGCTTCAAGATGTTGTTTCGTTAAAAAAAACTTGTTATTTATTCTGTCATGGGTCAAGGACGTCAAAGATTTATTTATATGAGCATAACACAGAATAAGGACACTAGTGAATGTAAAATTGTAAAAGAGAAATTTAGAGAAAAAAGTTTATATCTTTTTACTATGTATATATGTAAATGATTTTACAAATATCGGTCCGTTAGATGAAGTAGACATAAAACAATCATTGTCAATTTTCATCTAAAGATATCACGTTCAATTATGCTAATTACATCATTCATGAACATATGAACAGTCTGATGGCTGTATTATTTAGCTAGGAAATGGGCCTTACTCGTAGAATATATTTAACTTAATTATGTCAGTATTAAACATGTCGTTGGTCGCTTGTATTTTCAAATGTATGCAAATTTATGTAAATTTCATCTAAAAAAACAACAACAAAAAAAACCCAAATAGCTAAGTATCGAATAATAAATTTCAAATTAAATCAAACCCTCGATGACGTGTTTGTAATTCATAAGCAGTGTATAGAATTCATTGTTGAATCATCAGACTCATGTTAATAATATTTGAATAGATATTTTACCAAACCCTCTATTTCAAACCAGGTAAATTCATTCTTTTACATGACTGTGGTAAATTATTGATAGACCTGAGGATTAAAAATATAATATTATAAACCGTTCAAAATGAAATAACATGATGTTACAGTAGGTCTATATATATATACAGGGGTTTGAATACAAAAAAACCTACACTTATTAAACTACATAAAACGTTAAGAGTATTTTAATATTATCATGTACAGGAGACAATCAGATACGTTTTTAATGTTGTTTTGAATATAAATATCATGCTGCTTTTGTTTTATCATAGTCATTAATATATTGGAGAAAACATTACTCTATTTTCAAAACAATATTTTCTGGTGAACATTGCAAGTTGAGATTAATTTCATTTCCTGTAACCTTTAGTAAATATACCTCTCGTAAAGAGAAAAATGGAACAACGAGAACAAAATGTGTTGTAGTTGTTGTTGTAGTTTTTCTGTTTCTCCAGTAAATATTTTAGGTCAGTACCCCCACTACACGGCAAATAGGTTAAACGAGATGTGAAAAAAAATGTTATCTTTGATCAGCCGGGATCACAGTTTTCATACTTTCGGATAGTTTTTCTCTGTTTCTATGCAACGAATTAATCTATAGCCAGCTCGAGGCGATTTGAAGTGTTGTATTAAATTCTGCTTACTTGAACTACTCTCTTTATAATAATGAATAATTGGTCGTTTTAAATGCCAGCGTTCTATTTCACGATATTAATAACTTTTAAAATCTCATGCAATCATATACTTATGTGTACACGTACTTACTAGCGACTCACAATGTAATTATGTACATTTGGCATTCTGATATTAGGTTTGAAACAAATTTCCTTTTTTTTTGTATAACATTTTTTTTGAAAAAGTAAAATTGAAGGTCACAAAGGCGTCAGAGTCCCTTTAAATTAAAAAAACAAGAGTTGATTAATTTTTTTCTCTTTCGAAAACGTTTTTAAAATTCCCATTGGTTTATTGTTTTAAAAAATTTATTATTTTCTTATATAATATTTATTTTTAAAGATTAAAACTCCCAAATGTCTTAAAAGGACTCAGTAAATTTACTAAACCCTTTTTTTATTTTAAAAAAAATATAAATTAAACAGTGACCCAAATTTCAATCTTGGGTGACCATGAAAGATTCACCCGGGGGTGCCCCTGATTTGGTTTCACTGGTTTACGTGCGTAAAAAAAATTGAAAAAAGAAGGGTAAGGGTTAAAAATAAATTTTCAATTTTAAATTTTTGAAATTATTTGAATCATTGGCTCTGTAAAAAACTGTTTCAATTTAGGGGAGGTTAATAACTTTTGGGTTTACTAATTTGGTTTGGGTATTTTTTTTTTTTTTTCTTGCAGTTTTGTTGGTCTGTCATGTATTTGTTAATTTAAAGAATTGGTGAGATGCAGTTAAAAGGGTTTTTTTCTTTGTGTTTTTTTTTAAAATTTGGGTTTTTGTTTTTCTTGCTGAACCGCCCTACTTGGTCAGTAAAAGTTTACAATAGTATGCAGGGAAAATCGAGAAAGCGGGAAAAAAGAGGGAAATTTTAATTTTTTTTATATTTCGACTGGTTGTGTTTTCCCCAAATTGTCCCGGAAAAGCGGGTTTGGGGAAAATTTTGGGGTTCCCTACTGCAAAAAACTGTCATAAAAATAAGTAAAATAATTTGGGTTAAAAAGGAAAAAAAATGGGGGGGGTTTTGGTTGGGTTTTTTCTAAATTTTTTTTTTGTAATAACAGGTATTATAATATACAATCTATATACGGGTAAAAATAAGAAACGGACAAGAACGGCGCTGCGGAGTTTCCGAAGAGGTTCCAGACGACCCTTTTCACAGACCAAACAGTGGGAAAAACGGTTTGTATTCATTGTCGTAAACTGGGATACCACTAGTTATAATAAACAAAATGTAATACATTAGTAGTGTACAGCATTTTAAAAATGACCACGGTTTTCTATATTATTATTATTATTATTATTATTATTATTATTATTATACACCGCGTCCTTTTTATATCTATAGCATCTAGGTATGTAAATTTTAGGGTAGTATGTTTCCGACAATAAAGTCGGCAAAATTTCTAACAATTTTGTATATACAACTGTTTAAACCTGGGGCAAATGTAATGCAAATGTAAATCATATATATCAGAACAATCTTTTTATCGTTAACCTGTGGTAAATGTAAAAATTGTTTTACACGATGCTGTTTTATTTTTCCTGACCAGGTGTAAGTGTATGTTTATATGTGCGGGAGGGGATGATAGAAGCACCAGTGTTTTCAATACCTTGGCTGAACTCAGCGCTGATTACTTTAAGGTAGGCTTAATTACATAAAGCAACACATGGCGCGGGTTTGATAAATGATCAAAGAAAGTTTATTCGATGGTTGCTGGCCAGAAATATCAAAAAATGAACAGAGACAACTCTTTTTTTTTATCTTTTTGCTTTAAAATCAGATTGAATGATGATTATGGCCGCTTACCTTAATTTCAAAATTTAAAACTCTTTTACAATTATAAAAGTATGTTTTAGTTAATAATACATAGAACCTTCCAAGACAATAACTATGTGCTTGCGGCTATCTATAAAAATATAATAAAAATAAAGTATAAAGTCATTCAATGTGTGTTTATTCCCAGTTTCTTTCTTTTTGCTTAGATTTTCCTTAATGATGATCAAAGTTGTTTTTTTATAATTTATCTACAGGGTGTAGATTTAGTGCCGACGGATGTGATCGCCGGCCTGATACTTCTCAGTCGGCAACAAGAACGTAAACGTCAACAGTTAAGAATTTATATTGCCGACGAGAAGGAAACGAAAGGGTATAGTATGGTGTTAGTAGCCAGCCAGCATGCTAGTTTTACAGAGTTGGGTTCCGCATGCTTTTTTACCATTCCTTGCTCTGCTCTTTTTCTTCTTTTCTTTTCTCTTTCTTATTGTAATTAATAAATACATTTGACCGAGATTTCCTCATAATTCCTGCTTTGTGTTTTACATGTACTAAAATGTTTAAACTACTCATAATTTAAACCAGATATGGCGTTTCAACTAAAAACAAGGAAACATAATAATCTTTTAAGTGTATAAAGCTGTTTATCTGCTGTCTATAGTTTACAATATTTTTGTTTTATTTTTTAAAAAGAATAATTGAAAAGCACCTGTGTGAAAGAAATATGTTTGAATTTTTCCTTAAGATGCACGAAATGATTGCTAAACGGTAAAACCCCTACTAAAATAACATCGTGATATTTTCTTCCGGAACATTTTAATCTGTTTACATTTTTTTTTACGAAAATCTAACATCAGATTATAGAAACAACTTAAAATGGTCGTCGAAAAAAAAATCATGAGATATAGCTTTATATTCTTCAAAGGCACAATGAGATCAAAATAGAATGTTCATTTTCGATAACTTATTTCACATATTAAGTGTAGTTTTTACATTCTAGTGTACATCTTAACATTTCCCATATAACACAACTTTTTAAATGTTCTCTTTATTTCAAATCTTAATATTCTGAAAGCTTTCATAAAATGTCTTAATTTAGACTAATTCCTATCCCTTAAATTGGTTGACTAAAAATTTTTGATATACCGTAGCAACATTTTTACATCCCTTTTTTCATTATCTAAAGTTAACAACTGCATTGTCAGTACAATATATAATATAACTTATAATTTTAGTTTTAGAAAATACACATTTCATATGGATTTATGGTAACAAAACATTTCATGGTTAATCACTTTTACTAGGTAAGACTTGGAGTATTAATTTTCAGTAAGGGTAAACTTAGGGGAAGCTATGTTTGGTATATTTTAATACAGTTTTAGCTTACTGCAGTTGTTTAACAATGTAACAGTAGGTCTGGAAATGTATACTTTGTTCGTTTACGTTTCGTTCATTTAAGAGAAATTATTTGTTAACTGGTTGATTCGGCTTTAAGTATTTTTGGAAACGGTTCTTCAAGCTTTGCTTGGTCATTGTTTTTGTTAAAGAAGTAGAATATATATCGTACTCAATAGACGCCAGTTTGTAACTATACGTAGAATATACATGTATATCACACTCAATAGAAGCCGAAATGTAACACGAAGAAGGATATATCTTGTACTTGATAGACGTCAATTCGTAACAAGAAGTAAAAAAATATCGTACCCGATAGACGCCAATTTGTAACAAGAAGTAAAACATATATCGTACTCGACAGACGCCAATATGTAACAAGAAGGAAGTAAAACATATGTCGTACTCGATAGACGGCGAATTGTAACAAGAAGTAGAGTACATATTGTACTCGATAGACGCCAATTCGTATCAATAAGTAGAATACATATCGCACTCGATAGACGCCAATTCGTAACAAGAAGTAGAACATATATCGTACCCGACAGACGCCAATATGTAACAAGAAGTATAATATATATCGTACCCGATAGACGCCAATTTGTAACAAGAAGTAAAACATATGTCGTACTCGACAGACGCCAATATGTAACAAGAAGTACAATACATGTCTAGTCGATAGACGACAATTTGTAACAAGAAGTAGAATACATATCGCACTCGATAGACGCCAATTTGTAACAATAAGTAAAAAACATATTGCACTCGATAGATGCCAATTTGTAACAATAAGTAAAACATATATCGTACTCAATAGACGCCGATATGTAACAAGAAGTAAAGTACACATCGTACACGATAGACGCCAATTTGTAACAATAAGTAGAAAATATATCGTACTCGATAGACGCCAATATGTAAGAAGAAGTAAAGTACACATCGTACTCGAGAGACGCCAATTTGTAACGATAAGTAAAACATATGTCGTACTCGATAGACGCCGATATGTTACAAGAAGAAGATCATATATCGTTCTCGATAGACGCCAATATGTAACATTAAGTAGAAAATATGTCGTACTCGATAGACGCCAATTATTAACAATAAGTAGAATTCATATCATACTTGATAGACGCCAATTTGTAACAAGAAGTAAAACATATGTCGTTCTCGATAGACGCCGATATGTAACAAGAAGTAGAACATATGTCGTACTCGATAGACGCCAATATATTACAAGCAGTAGAACATATATATCGTACTCAACAGACGCCAGTTTGTAACAAGAAGTAGAGTACATATAAACGCCAATTTGTAACAATAAGTAGAACATATATCGTACTCGATAGACGCCAATTTGTAACAAGAAGTAAAACATATATCGTACTCGATAGACGCCAATTTGTAACAAGAAGTAGAACATATGTCGTACTCGATAGACGCCAATATGTAACAAGAAGTAGAATATATGTCGTACTCGATAGACGCCAATTTGTAACAAGTAGTAGAACATATATCGTACTCGATAGACGCCGATATGTAACAAGAAGTAAAACATATATCGATGATAGACGCCAATATGTAACAAGAAGTAGAACATATATATCGTACTCAACAGACGCCAGATTGTAACAAGAAGTAGAATACATATCGCACTCGATAGACGCCAATTTATAACAAGAAGTAGAACATATATCCTATTCGATAGACGCCAATATGTAACAATAAGGAGAACATATGTCGTACTCGATGGACGCCAATGTATAAAAACAAGTAGAGTACATATCCTTCTCGATATACGCCAATTTGTAAGAAGAAGTAAAACATATATCGTACTCGATAGACGCCAATCTGTAACAAGAAGTAGGATAAATATCGTACTCGATAGACGCCAATTTTAGAACGAGGTTAAGTGTGTTGTATCAGTAATTTGCTTTCACATATACGATAAATAGAATGTTATTGAATTTGTTAGGATATTCAAAACAGATCCAAACTGTTACATTGTATAATATGGTATACAATGTATTTTATTTGATATTTTCTTATTCATTCCTTGTTATATATTTTTTCATATTTTGCAAGTTTATTCTTCATTCTTGAAATGTATTCAAGCGTTACACCCCGTGTTTTTAAATATAATAATCTGAATCATTAAAAGTAAACAGTTTTCTTTTTATCTTCTTTTGAATATTAATATTTTTCGTCATTGTAGCAAATAATATTCTTTAATTTTTAAATAAACATAATTTTTATTGCTGATAAGTAAACAAGTTGTGCATCATTTTTGATTACATGTAAATGTCTTTGTTTCATTTATTTTACAAATAATGCCGATTCTTTGACGTTTTTTTTTTAAATATTATTCTAAATAAATAAATGTATGCCTAAATAGATGATATTTACACCGCTGATCATAAGAAAACATGGAAATATCTTTGGTAAAATTCCATTGTGTTGTAGTGTTTGATTTCAATTAATTTAATGTTTTCCTAAAATGTTTTGAATAAAAAATCTAAATCAAATATTTCTGTTTGTTTTAGGCCAACAGATGACGTTGTAGATGCCCCGGATGTAATATGCGAGTGTTTACCAACGCCGAGAGATTGGATGACACTAGATAACATGAGTCACTATCTAAAATTTGCTATTGGTAGCTATGGCTGGCCCTTCTATGTAACTCTAGTCAATCCAATACTAGGGGCATGCTCCCTTATTACACAGTGCAGGTAAGCTGTCTTAACAAATGGCTGTCTATTTTTTTGAAACATCATATGTTAAGTCAGTCCTCTGGTATGTCTCAAAGTCGGTACATTTCGGCTTTTTGGCTCTAAAGTGCGGTAACTTTCGATTAATTTTGTTCTTGTTTTTAGTGGGTTTTTTTCTTCAGTCGAGTCATCCCAGGTATTAAAGATTTGATTCGTATCTGCCTTCGCTGTAATATGTTTCATTCTGCTTTTGTAGTTCTCTCCACCTGTCTGACATTGACTGATAAAATCGGATATATTTGATCGATATCAATAAGCTCCTTATAAGTAACCATTGCTTATTTTACCTGTTTCACCCAGCAAATTATTTAAAAAAGTGAACAACTACAAATATTTATAAGTTCTTTAAATAAAACTATCTCTTTACTATGTATGTCTGCCTGTTGAGTTTATGCACGTATCAAACATTTTGCCTATCATTCTTACAATAACGGGAAATCGATTTCCAATCGCACAAATCCATTTCATGAAGTTTCATATTACAATAAAATAGATACACTGTGCAGTTTTTTTATTAAATAAACTCAAATAAACTCTCTAAGCCCATAAATGACCTATCAAATATTTAATCAACATAACACACTCTTTTTTACGATGAAGATACACGTTTAATTGAATTACAAATAACATATATTGCTTTAACATAAATCGTATTCATTTAATTTGAATAAAAGGTCAAATAAGCAAATAAGGTTTTGCTTGCAATGCAGAACGGTTTCAAGAATTGTCTTTTTTATCATAATTTTAACTCATTTTAACTCTTTTTTTAACTCATCTTAGCAAAATATACACATGGTTATCTTTTGTCCGTCGTCGCCCACCTTTAACGATTTAATTTAACACAACGTCTCATCTGATATCAAACTTCACAAGAATGATCCTGTGATCCTTGGGTGGTCTTTTTTGTTTAAATGGGTTGTATAAATAGGTCACATGGTTAAAAAAGGGTTAAACATTCTTCTCTAAATCTGGCATGAAACGTCATCTTGTGGATTTCTATTAAGATCGATCAAGTTATGACCATGGGTTCAAAATCGATCCTTCGTTAGGGGAAGGGGTTTCTGGGTTGTTTTTATATGTATTTTTTAACTTGTTTTTATGTAGTTGTAAATTTACCGGACCATTTTATAATTGATACATGTACTAACAAGCAGTATTTTACATTTTATTTTGTCCCCCTGGCTAGTTTTCTTTTATTGCTGTTCTTTTCTTTTTTATTTTTTGTTGAAGTTAGCCGTTCAACTACGGCCAATTTGTGGTAGGGATATGCAGTATATTAAAGTTAAAACTTTAGATTGTTTTAAGGGTCATTACGTTTAAGAATGATGGTCTATGACTGTCAAACTTCTCTTGTCGATTTCTTTTAAATTGATGATTGGATTATTGTTCAAGAAACGAAGATAAAACAAATAATTGTGATTTTTCGCTATTGTTTCAGTTGTTTTTCATGTCGGGACGATCAGGGTTCTGTCTACATGGATAATTGTTGTATGTGTAATACAGCTGCTTTCAAGAAAACCACAGGTCTACATCATGACGATATTGTCTACGCTTGCTTTAAAAATGAGGTATGCTTTATAATTGGCTTTGTTTTTAGGGGTAACTTGAGGTTTAGGTAATCTGGCGATTAAACATTTACTTATGAAGAAAACACCTTCGTGCATTATTTCTGGAACGCGCAAAGTTACAAAACAAACGGCCTATAGTAAGTTAGCTGAGCATAAAATAATTTGTCCAATGCAAGTATTAATGCACGCAACCGTAACCATTTGACCACAGGGACGTCATAGTTATGTAACGAAAACAAATGCATGTGTTCCGAAATCAATTTCTAGCTTTTTATCTGATGTCGAAATGCAAGAATTGGTTTGATGCCTATGCCGATAAGTACATTCATTCATTCGTTGATTATTTCTGAAACTGTTACTTAAACAAATTGAAAGTTTGTACCACTTTAATCGATAATTTAATTTCACGATGAATTACATGTACTCAAGAGATTAATAATGTCTGGAATTTGCAATAATGATCTTTTATAGATAACGTATAATGCAAAACAATTTTTACTATTCTGGTACTATTTTATAGTAAATAATAATAATATTTTATTATATATAATAAAGTAAATTTTAATTTTTACACATAGATATTCTCAGCATTTTCATCCTAGTGATGAAAAATCACATTATCGGTTACTTATAAACATGTCTTTGTATACAGCATTTTTTAAATAGATCTGCTGTATATTCTACTAAAATTTCCAAATCGAGCACACCATACTTTAGAAACCAGACATCATATACTTGTTCTCAACCAGCTGAATTCCTTAAATGGACTTGTCCAGATTCTATTTTTTTTAACTGTCCATTTTCAATTTTGGGGATATCAGGAAAAAAAATGATGTTAATCCTGGTCATACTGCATAGATATAAGGCTTGTGTGGCTCAATATGGCGATTAGAGGCAAATGTTAATCAGTTTTGGTTCCAGGGTAGTATATAGGTTGTTAAAAAAATGCAACACTTACCATACTTGTAACTTTATTTTTAGATTTACGAACTTCCATTCTATGTGGTGATAGACAGAGAATCAAATTCGGTTGTTGTTGCCATTAGAGGGACACTTTCTTTACAGGTAAACTTCATGTTGCATATTATATAAGTTATACATGAAACATATATATTTTTTTCATATACAGTCAAACTTTCATATAATGGCCACTCATGGAAAATGAAAAAAAAACAACTTAGAAGTGTACACGCAATATGTCACAAAACTATTGTTCTGTATTGTAATTATTCTAATAAGACACTTACAAGATGGCAGGTTTTGTGTGGTCTTTATACGGAGGTGGATTTTAAGAGCACAAAGTTGACTGATATATACTTCATATCAGCATGAAATAAAAGTAACTGGTTGTCAAATCCGTGTTCTATTTATTATTGTTATACATTTTGTAAAATATATCAACCTTAGAAGCTAACTTGATATCTAAGAGCATCTGAAGATGGAATATTTAACACCTATATAATACACTAAACTATAATATGCAGAATTTATAACGATAAAGTAGAAAAAAAAATATATATTTGTTGTCGTTTTTTTTATTTTGTTTGTTGTTTTTTTTATATATTTTTTTCATTATAAAATGTGTATGATAAATGAATGTTTTAAATAGTAAACGTTCAAAGGTATATTTTCTAACCATAAAATAATATATTTCTATCATATATAAGATTTGTTTTATTTTCCAGGATGTCATTACAGACTTGGTGATAGAACGTGGCGACCTTGACATTACTGGGGACCTCTGCGCATGCGCACACAATGGTATCCTACAAAGTGCAAACTACATAAAGCAAATCTTAGAAGAGAAAAATATTCTTAAAAAAGCTTTTTCATTAGCAGAAGTAAGTGCTGAATTCATAAATATTCTATTATAATGTTAATAGTTATGCCAACTTATAATCTTTTACCAGATGTAATACAGACAGAGTGGGAAATAAACTCTGTTTTCAGTATATTTTTTATTTCCAAAGAAGAATGATGCATTATATGTCATAAAACAAACACTCAGTGTGTTTATAGTCAGCATTTATAGCCTGTTGGGAGTATTTTAACGTCTTACTCTGACATATATGCAGAGGAACAGAGATTTATATCTAATGAAAACACATATTGGTGCAATTTTAACATCTTAGACTTTCATAATTATTGTTTTTATATTGACATATATTGTACCATTTCCAGCTTCAGAAATTTATCATACTTTTCAAGCTTAATGATTTTATTGCTTCTTTACATGCACTATTGCGGTACACACAACTCTTATAAGCTTTAAAGTGTTCTATACGTTTTCAACGGGGTGCTTCATATATTTTGAATATTCGAAAGTTTAAGTGTTTTATTTAAGACACTCCAATGAGGTACAAAAGTCTTAAACATTAAATTTGAATGTTTTGCATACATCATCTTGGACACTTAGAACAGAAAGATGTGTAAAAGAAAGAAAGAAAAGAAATATACTCAGAAATACATTGATTTTTTTATGCTATTCATAGGTCTATTTGAATGAAAAGTGTTTCAATTTTTGGTCATTTTTCTCAAGAGAAATAATTATTCTGGAAAAAAACAGAGTGAGCGAATGACTTGAAATTTTGGACATAATTTATTGGCATTGACCTACATCAAATGAAACATTAATCTCGAAAGGATATTTCCATTCCCGTCATGTCAAAAAAAACAACACCTCAGTGGAGTCTTTTTTGTGTATATGTATTAATACAAAAAATGCCTATGCTTGTATTTTCTACAAAATTGATGATGACAATAATTTGATATTATTTGAAAATATAGGGTGCTGATCTAGTTATTACTGGACACAGTCTTGGAGCCGGCGCGGCAGCTTTGTTGGCCATTCTTTTAAAACCATCATATCCAAAATTAAAATGTTTTGCATTTTCACCACCGGGAGAATTAGTCAGGTAAATTAAGATCTTTCTGTTTCTAAATGTATATCTAAACCTGAAAAATAATGCATTGATTGCTGGTACCCCAGTGCCCGCTTGTTCCGTATAGGCGGTTTTCAGTCAGACACGTATTCGTTGAATGGTCTTATATCATCCTTATAGGGAAATACAACGTTAAACTAAAAATAGATAATTTTGATTTTGCTAAGATATGTATGGTTAATCTTTAAGATCTTAAATATCTCTATTTTCTCAGAGATTAATATGTTTACAAATACTAAGCGTTGGTATACATCTAAATGTTACTTCTTTAACTCAGATTTTGTATGATTTTAGTGTGTGAATGTCAAACATTTTTATTTAGAATGTTAAAAAACACACATTTATTTTGTTTCTTTTAAGAGCTACAGTATATCAGATCCATATAAATTTTACGGTTTTTTTCTTTTCAGTCCTACAGTTTCAAAATATGCAGAAGATATTGTATGTTCAGTCGTTCTTGGTGATGATATTATTTCTAGACAAGGCATGCTGATGATGGACGATCTTAAAATCAATATATTAAAAGCTATACATCAAACTAGATTACCAAAGGTAATTAAATATTTATCTTAATTTACATTATATCTTCAAATGAATGACTGACTGCTCTTTTATAAACAAATATTATGCTTTTTACAACTCGTTAAACTGTATTTTGTAAAAAAAGTCATACATGTATAATATTTTGATTATCGTACATTTTTTTATTATCGACAAAGCTTAATTCCATTTTCTAGGCCACAAATGTTTGAATTTGTAGAATGTTTGGTATCTATGACTGAAATATCGATATCATTGTTTCAGTTTATTTAACAATGTAGCAAACATTTAAATAGGCATAAAGTATATGCATGCATATGCATGTGCTAATGTATGACAAATGTGCAAATTCAGTGAAAAAAATCATTGCAATAAAATATTTTGTACTGACACTCAAATCCATCTTCGTTCTTTACAATGATGCTATTTCAACCAGATATATTACAGTGACATCGTTCTTCGTATAGAGAAACGCTATATAATGACAATTATTATATTTATAATACACTAATGTAATATAGAGCCTTTGTAATGTAATAATTGCACGCCTGTGTCAGCAACAATTTCAGCTTATCAGTACAGTTTATCTATGGATTAAGTATAGTTCTATAACTTGTATTGAATTATAGTCAATCTAACGTACAACTGATACTGTGACAGTCAATTTATTCAATTTAAGCACACTATTACCACTATGTTATCAAATTAGTAAAGGATATTATTAAGCTGGAGATGAATGTCTATCATTTCGCAAAAGATGAAAGGAAGTCTCATTTCCTAGTTATACCAATATCATTATATATATCATATTACTTGATTTTACAGTAATATACGATCAAATATAATCAACATTCGCCTTTTAAATTGATTGAGTAGGAACTCTTTCTTCAAAATTTTCATTTTATTTTTTTTTTTTGATATGTGTACATAAAACTTTTTAAATAAAAACATGTTTAAATTGTATGTGTTAGTATAATGAAAGTGCGACAGTGTACAGAAAGGGATATTTATTAGACATAGAACTATATTTTGAAACTTTTCTGTCCCAGACAAATATCAGAAGCTTCTTAAGAACACTTTATAAAACAGGTTACAGGCGGAGATAAAAGTTATTGTTTGCGTTAAAGTCTAACTTTATTTAATTTACAGATGATTTTTGCAATAAATTTATTTTATAGTTACCCTGCTGACGGTAAATAACGAAATTACTAAATAAAGGATTTGACAGAATTAAAATCCGTATAATATACATGTACGAGTGTGAATCAGGATGACATCGCTGATGTAATATCAACTGGCTGGCTGAATAATTTAAGGAATTATATAGTAAATGGTTATTATAAGAGTTTCTTAATCTAATATACTCATATTTGGCCCTCGTGAATTTTACGAGAACGCACCACATTGCGGTTCAACGTTTAATGAGATCCTGGCCTAGCACAAAACGCAAGGGTCACATACAAGGTCTAGATCAATATATTCCTATGATGAAAATATATATAAAAATACTAGTGGTGGAAAATCACCTTCTTGCTCAGTAGGCCGTCTAAGGATTCTATTCCGAACCGTTGCCAATCACGGTAAAGAGTGATCGATGTACTTTTTATAACAAACACCTATAGAAATAGAATTTTTTATCAATATTTTTTTTCTGTCAGTATAAGATATTTGCAAGCGGTTGTTGGCGGATGTGTTGTGGCAGAGCAGGGACTTTGGAAGAGAATATCAAATATGCTCATGTAGATGAAGACCCTAAAAATGAAAATGGAGGAAGCACATATAATGTTAACAGATGTAGTTTAGAAGTAAGTATCAAATGATCAAGGTTTTTACAACCAAAACTTATATTTGTAATCTAACGGCATATACAATGTAATGGTTTATCAAGTGATTTATAAAATGCCTTTCTCGAAGCAATATCGTTATACAGATAATAGTCTATGCCTTTCTATGTGAGAGGTTACTGGTCCTTATCAAGTAGCTTGAGATTTTAGGGACTCCTCTTAAGGCTTTCAGACTTAACAGGATTGGACATATTCTTTTTGAAATGAGTGTACCGTTTTATGTATCTCTTGGCCAATATCTTGTATGCAAATTTCAGATCGTCCGCTTGCCTCTATTTCCCCTGATTAATCAATCATTCTTATCGTGCAAAATGAACTAAAATTAAAGAGTGTGCTTTTAACTCAAATAAGGCTAAGAAAATGCACAAAAATAATTTAATTTTGGATTATTTCTTATTATCCGTTGCATATTTTTCTGTTTAAGTGCCCCAGTTGATTTATGTAAAAATCAAGTTTTATTTGTAAGTCTTTTGGACATAAGCGGAAGTCCTTTAAAGAAATACATTCATTTGAAATTGAAGACATTTAATTCACATTTTTGCATATGTATTTCACAAAAAAAAAACATTGAGAATAAGAATCCATGCTCAAAAGTGTCCATTTATTTTAAAAGCTTCTATGTGTATTAAGAAAACAAGTGACTTGAGTTTGGTAAAGTTTTAAAATTGTTGCGTCCAAGCAGAGCTAGTTTATATGTAGCTTTCTACCACATTTATTTTACCTATTCCCTGATATATTTTCAGATGTCGCTTACAGAATGTATGGCGCATAGTCAACATATAAAAAGTACATATCAACCTCTTGTTCTACCTGGGCAAATTCTTCATGTTGAACAAAGGTACAATATCTTAAAATAATAACGTGTAACAAAAATCTTCTATGAAATCGAAATTTCGTGTATTTCGATATTAACAAATTAAGGCAGCTCAGATTTTTCCTATGTTTCATCTATTGAAAATAACATATAGATTTAAAATGCATTGTATTTACTTTAAGAATGTTTGAAGTTCTACATAAAGAATTCAAATATATTTTTTTCCGAATTCCGCATTAACACAATAAAAATGTATTGATTTATAAGAAATTACATGTAATCTAGAATTCGAGGGGAATTGGGCTAAAAATTGTTACAATTCTATAAATATAACGTATATCTATCAAACATATTAAGTATATGAGCCGCGCCACGACAAAACCAACATAATGGGTTTACCAGCATGGATCCAGACCATCCGCGCAGTCTGATCAGGATCCATGCTGTTCGCTTACAGACCCTATAACAAGTAAAGAAACTGATAGCGAACAACATGGATCCTGATCAGACTGCGCGGATGCGCAGGCTGGTCTGGATCCATGCTGGTCGCAAACCCATTATGTTGGTTTTGTCGTGACGCGGCTCATTTCTTATGTCCGATGTTCGGTCAATAAAACATTGTCACAAGGGGTATGATATTGTTTGTTATGCTTAAGGTACTGTCCCAGCATGTCATTGCCATAAATAAAATGCATTAAACAATGCAAAAATTGTGATATATTACAGTCATATCAGCGGTGACGAAGAGTACACAGCTGCTTGGAAGTTACCAGAAACTTTTACAGAAATTATTGTTAGTCCGGACATGTTAGCACATCATTTCCCAGACGCTTTACTAGACGCCATTGATGAATTACGAGAAAAGAAAATTCCTGTGAAACAAATCACCACGACAACAAACGGAAATAAAATAGATACACGAATAATGATTGACTAAAAATCGTAGTTGTTTGTAGCGTCAGTTGTGTATTAAATTCCGTTTTATTTTCCACTTCAGGAAAAATAACCGCCAACAGAAGTTGTCCCCTTCTTAACTGCACTTTGTCACCTTATGGCAGTAACGGGTTAACTTCTCGTATGATTTAATAGAAGTTAACCTCTTATTGCACTAAGATGACGATTTGTGCATTTCCACTGGTCAGTTTTTTGTAAGTTTTTTTTTTTGTATTTTGACACCATGCACTACTAGTCATTTAAGTATTACACTGACCCTGATGACTCGCTATTAAATGTGGTTTCAGATTATGGGTAAAATAACAATATGTGTTTTGCTGTCGCATATAATTACTTATCTCTCTTTTGTTTCAATCCTCATGCATGCATTCTTTATATTTTTTTCAGAATCTTAATTTAAAGGAATCATATAGTACAGATTTTTTAACATTTGAATTGGAATAAGTTTCTCTGTTAAAAAGGACATACAAAGCAATTATAAAAAATATGAAATATAAGCATACGACAACAGAAAAAAAGTTGTGTAACACTGGGTTTAACCCTTCTGAAAACTAAAGAGACATTATTTTTTCAGCTAAGGGTATATAGTGAGTGAACAGGTGAAAGTCAAAATAAGTTTACATTTAGCCATAATTCAATGCAATTTCATAATTTATTTTGCATGAACGATAAATAACTCACGTGGAACAAGGTAATTTCTGTAAATACCCATCGAAATTTACCTGCATATTTTAAATTATTACATTTATTATGTTTTATCCTTAACATTTTCCAGTATCAACTATTGATCAATCCCCATTAAAATAGTCAATCTATTGAAATATATAGTCAATTCAGCTCAACTAGACAATGAAAAAATAGCATAATGCCACTTCAAACGTTCGATATCTAAAACATCAACCATTTTATACTTTAAAATTTCATTTGCTTTAAATGTTTCAAGAACACATCAATTTCATTTAACGTACAACTCTACTGTAAATACATGCATATACCGTGTGTAAATGCTTCATGTATACACCTGGAAATAAGTTAAGCACACCCCGGAAATTTGAAATTGGTTGTGATTGAAATCACTGTCATGAGATGACGACTTAAATGAGTTAAGAAATAGTATTTTAGAAGTTTAGTAATCATAAACCAGTAAATTTATGAGTTTAGTTTATATTTTCGGTAAATGTTGACGATTACATAACCTTTAATGACATTATGAAGCCAAGTTTTTGATAACCGCCACGTGCCCGAATGATAGCCTCAACCCTTCTCCTTATTATACCAGTAAGGCGTCTAATGTGATTTTGAGGTAATTTTTGCCATTCTTGGTGCAGAGCTTGTTCCAGTTGTTGCAGGTGGTTCGTACCATTGCCCAAATAAAATTTAAAATTTCTGTTGTGGTCATGTCAAAACTGAGACAAAATGTCGGATGTGCTTAACTTATTTCCATGTGTATGTAAAAGTCGGTGAATAATGTAATGGAAAGAAACAAATTTGGGGATACCAGATATGATATGAAATATTGTCATAGAAAACAATAAGTGTGCTTCTTAAACCTTGCAAAAAAAGAGAATAATTTTAGTATTTTGAAATAAATGTCATTTTCTGCTATTCATGTTTGTTTCTGGACAATTTAATGATGATAAACTCCCCAATTTAATTAAGTATAAGGACAAAAATACAGTGACAGAAACGAAGCAATGACGTTTAACTTAAGCATTCTCTAGCATAATCTATCTTTTTATATAAAATCTATACATGGTAGAAAATGCCAATGGTATAATGATGCAAACACTGTTTATATAACTATAAATGTGACACCCTGACTTCATTTTTTAATGTCCGACTTATTCTAGTGTTTCAATACGCACCTTTATTATGTATGAATTTTATTTTTGCAATCATGTGATGTGTGCTAAAATTTTGGAATCAAAATGTTCTCTCATTAATTTTATCAGCGAATCAATCATTGGTCTGAATAACCGAGTGTTTGTGTTAAATGAAATCCAAGGTTGTGTTTATAGTTTAATATTCTATTGTTATAACTATTGGATATGTATTTGCAAAAAACAGACATAGACACATTCCTTTTATGTTACTTTTATTTACAAGAAATAAACTTACGATTTTACGAACATTTGTTTTCTATCAAATTCTTTTGTTTGTTTGTGTTTTGCAGCTGTTTAATTGTAGGTGAAATAATTGATCTCTACAAATTTTATGGTATGAAAGTTATATAACAAGTGTTCATAAATTCTTTAACCTTTATCCCACCTGAAACCGGAAGTAATAAGTCTTTGTCACCAGACAGACCAGCCTGCACATCCGTGAAATCTCAGCAGGATCTATGCTGTTGACTGACCAACTTTATATTTTCATCCTGATATCCCAGAAAATGACGATGCACAGTTCCAAAAATTGAAACTGGGCAAGTCCATTTAAGAAATTCAGTAAGTTAAATGTGAATAGGAATCAGTAAGAGGGCACGCACGCTAACTTGCATTTCCAGTACAGTCCATGAACATGCTCTGCAACATTTTTAATTTTGCCGTTTTATGCGTTCTTTAGGGATTCTGTTTTCTCCCCATTTCCTTATAGTGTCTTGAAGTAAAGCGCATAGCATGTGTCCAAGAGGTCGAGGACGCGGTTGTTCTCCTATTGAAACCAGTCATACAGGTCCGTCACCTGCTTATTGGATTGAAAGGAACTTGAATTCGAATATAAAGCGTTAACAATATACGAGTGCAGTAGCTATACAAAAGGTTATAATTACTAAAACACTCATGCATGAATTATAGTGTCCATCTTTATGGAACGCCAAGTTGATACAACAAACTCAAATATTTTAAGAGGTATTTAAATAATTGGAGAGTTCCGTTAAATACATTTAGTTTTAAAGGTGTGCATATGAGTTAAAAACACACACACAAAATTGTAGCACGGTTAAAATCCATTGATTAAAGACATCTACATTATAAATCTTCAATTGAATCAGATGCCTTTATGATCGTTAAAACGCGCGAGAAATTGAAAACAGAAAAATCATTGACTTCATGTACAGTTACTAGATCTATGGCTAAGAAAACCATTGAGCCAGATATACCTTAATGGGTCAGTCTTTTTATTATAAGATTTCTTTTGATCTGCCTGAAAACACACTTGGCTAGTTCATTTTTCTCCACGAAGACCAAAAGATCAATGTCATGGCTTACTGTCACGATCCAGAAACAGAATTTCAGTCCTTTTTCAAAAGGCTTTCAGTGAAAATGAAACATCGCATGAATAATAAGGATGGGAATTCATCATCATTTTAATGGAAAAAAATCGCGACTACCTGATGTCTCATTCTGACGAAGCGTAGAGTGTTGTTATATTTTGTTATATTTTTCTGTTCCTTTGGGATCACTGATTCCAGCACTTTTAAATGTTTAAAATTTAGTACCGCTCGAACCGCACAAGCCGGTGCTAGGGGGCCTGAGGGATGTTTCACTTTTTCATAATCCCTCATGTATAGACTCAGTCTAACAGGGTCTGCAATTTTCATGTAATTTTTTTGATTAATGCTTCTGTAATTTTCTTGATTAATGCTTCTGAGGGACCATTTTTTCTTCTCTTTCTTAATTGGGCTATTTAAAGATCAAGATCAAGACGTGTCAAGACGTGTCATTTTGAGCTCTGTGTTTTTTTCTGTCAAAATAGTGTTTTCTCTATAGTAAACGGAATATTTTTATACAAACAGAAAGTGTAAGGAATATATTTTTGGAATATGTACTTTTCGTGATGGAATTACTTTGGAAAAGGTGGTTTTGAAGAGATTTTTTGAAGAGATTTTTTGTCAAACAATGCAATTTTACGTTTAAAATAAATATCACCTTTACAATAGAAGGATTATTGAGTGAACAGTTGTCAATTTTCGCAGTAAGAAACTAAACGGTAGTATTATCTTATTTATCCTATTATTACTTTTAACGGTAACGAATGAACGGATGAATGGTGATAATTGTGATAATTGTGATTTATCAACTTTAAATAACGTAGAGTGTTGTGAAAACCCGTTATGACTAAGAACAGGGGCAGTAAAAAGCGCACTAAAGAAGAAGCATCACCTGGCACGACAAATGAACAACCTGACAAACGGCATAGCTGCAACATGGCCGAGAGCACTCCGACATCAGCTTCACCACCTCTTTCCGCTTCCAATCCATACAGTACGCCAACAGCAGATGGTTCTTTCATGCCGCCTCATTTACAATTTCTGAGCCCACAAAACACTTATACATACCCATACATGATGACACCATCTGGGAACCAACCGCTTACTCAAGCTACGCCTCTGGCAGAAAGTGATAAGTATTCACTGATTTTAAACAAGTTAACCAGCATTGAACATACACAAAAATCAATGGAGGCTAAACCAAATAGAAAATGATGTTAAAAATATTTCAGGAAAAGTTTCATTAGTTGAATCCAAAGTAATAGTGCTAGAAGAGAAGTATTCAGAATCTGAGAAAAAGCTTAATGATATTGAAAATAGCCGTAGATTTGACAGTGACCAAATAGAAAATATGAAAACAAGTTTTGATGAACTTTTCACGGGTATTGATTCACTTCGCTGTGACAATTCTGAACTGAAAGAAAATATAATCGATCTACAAGCGATGAGGGACAATCTATTGTTTTTTAATTTTGAAGAAGAACGCTCATTTGAGAGTCGTAAACAAGAAAATTGCTCCGAAAAAGTGCTCCAGTTCTGTGAAAACAAACTAGGTATTGATAATGCCACGTCATCGATGAAAATCGACAGGGCACATAGATTGGGTAGTTTTGAGCGCGATAAAAAAAGGCCAATTGTGGCTAAATTCAATTTTTATGGTGACAAAATGATGATAAAAAATATTGCACGTGACAAACTACAAGGCTCCAACTTCCGTGTCGCTGATCAATTGCCAAAAGTTATACAAGAGCGTCGTAAAAAACTGATTCCGTTCTTAGTAGAAGCTAAGAGGAATGGCAAACAAGCCACACTTTCATATGATACACTTTATATTGATCGTATCAAATATACACACGATCGGCCACCCCCAGGGCCGGTTCCGGAGCTTCCTCCCCGGCAGTTTCGTACAAACTTTACACGTGGTCGTACAACCAATTCGGGCGCCAGTGACCAAAATACGCCAAGTCCGCGTGAATTCAATGCACAATGGCGAGATCGTTCAGGAATCAACGGCAATAATAGGCCATCCTCAGACAGCTAGGAAGACGCTGAGAAGCAGTTGACTGTTTTATCTTGGAACGTACAAGGACTTGTTTCAAAATTAGATGATGTTGATTTTCTGAACTTGCTGAATAAATATGACATTTTATTATTAACCGAAACATGGAACGCCAAGACAACAAATATAAAAATAGACAATTATGAATGTTTTTCTTGTCCGAGACCAAAATGCAATAAGAAAGCCAAACGGGAAAGTGGCGGGGTTTTAATTTACTTTAAAAACAAATACAGTGGTTATATTGAATTGATTGACACAAATAATAAGGGTATAGTATGGTGTAAACTTAAAAGGTCTTACTTTAACTTTGATAATGACATTTTTGTTTGTTGCCTTTATGTCCCGCCTGTAGATTCAAATGTGTATAGAAATAGTAACTCCCCGCTTTATGAATATGATTTTTTGAACAATTGTCTACTGATATTAAAAAATATAACCAAGAAGGTGATATACTCATTGCGGGAGATTTAAATTCTAGAATAGGTCAGAGATCAGATATTGTAGAAAACATTAATCTTGAACGGTATATTGATATTCCGTTGGATGATATAACAACAAATGTTTTGCCTCAACGGTTATCAGCAGATTATCAATCAAACTCTTTCGGAAACAAACTTTTGTCACTATGTAAAGAAAATGGCGTCTTTATAGTTAATGGACGATTAGAACCCGGCTTATGAACATGCTATAATTTAAACAGAAACAGATTCGGTGCTAGCGTTGTTGATTATGTTGTTGCAAATTATAATGTTTTTTCCTGTATTAGTACTTTTAATGTTCTCGATTTGAATGAATTTTCCGACCACTGTCCGATAGAGTTTAAATTACTTTGTAATATGGCCGATGAACATCAAGAATGTTGCACTTACGATAAAATAAGCTGGGACGAAAGTAAAAATTTTGAACTGTCTGAGAAATTATATAGTAATCAACTTTGTTTTGATAATATAACTGATGATTTGATATTAGAAAGGGAGGATTTGGATACTTGTATCAATAACTTATCTTCACTTATATATGATATATCGTTTAGTGTGCATGGAAAAATTGTAAATCCTGTGAATAATAATAATAACTATAAAGACAAAAAAGAAACAAAAGGTCTTGTTGGTTTGACAATAATTGTAGAGAAGGTAAGAAACAATTTTATTTGAAGAAAAGAGAATATAAAGAAAATCCATCAAATGAAAACAGAATTAATATTTTAAATGCTAGAAGTGATTATTGTAAAACAAAATGTGATGCAAAACGAAAATATAGCTATAAAGAGAAGACAACTCTATCTGTCTTAAGTAAAACAAACCCTAGAAAGTTTTGGAAATACGTTAACAAATATAAAAATAAATCTAATTCCAGTAGCAATGATATAAGCATGCAGGAATTCGTTGATTATTTTAATCATCAAATACAGCTCATTATAGTTCATTTAACTCAAATGACTTTACAGATAATACAGATGTTCCAATAAACATTGAAGAGTTAGATTATCCCTTTACTTTAGATGAAATATTAAGAACAATTACATCCTTGAAAAGGAACAAAAGTAGTGACTTGTATAATAATGTCGCCGATTTTTCATTGACTCAAAAACTTTATTTCACCATATTTTGTCAAAATATTCAATTACATATATTACAAAGGCATATATCCGGAATCATGGTGCAAAGGTGCAATTGTACCGATATTTAAAAGGGGGACCGTAACAATCCAGCTAACTATCGTGGCATTACCTTAGTTAATATAATTGCAAAAATATTTCTTTATGTCTTAGGAATAGAATAAATAAATGGTGTGAGAATGAAAATATATTTAATCCCCTACAGTTTGGTTTTAGAGATAAACGAAGTACCACAGAT